GTAGCCCAGAAATAAAATGCTTGGGTCACATAGTAGGGGGAGGAGTGATAAAACCCCTGGAGGCCAAAATAGAAGCAGTTCGTGATTGGCCCAGACCCAACACCAAGAAAGAAGTCAAATCATTTCTTGGGTTGGTGGGCTACTACAGAAAGTTCATCCCGAGGTTTAGCGAGATTGCGGCTCCGCTGACCGATCTGATGAGGAAGAAGGCTGATGACCGCATCCCGTGGACCAGCGACTGTGAGGAGGCGTTCCAGAGGTTGAAGGAGGCCCTCATGAACTATCCAGTGCTGCGTGCTCCAGACTTCGACCGGGAGTTCATCATCTACACCGATGCGTCTAACAGCGGGGTAGGAGCAGTTCTTTGCCAGGAGGATGAGAATGGTGACCAGCATCCAGTGTCCTACCTGAGTAGGAAACTCCAGAAAGGTGAGAGACATTTGGCAACCGTGGAGAAGGAGTGCCTGGCCATAGTCTACGCGATCCAGAAGGCCAAGCCTTACATCTGGGGAAGACATTTTATTCTGTGCACTGACCATTCACCACTGCAATGGTTAACGACAATGAAAACCCACAATAGTAAACTTATGAGGTGGGCTTTGAACCTGCAAGACTATGACTTTGAAGTGAAGGTGGTCAGAGGGTCAGTGAACTGTGTTGCTGACGCCTTGTCAAGAAGACCTGAAGAATGAAGACGGCGAAAGAAACATGGACTATGTATATATTTTGATGACAAAAAGTCAAATGTGTCTGTTTATTAAACATGTTGGTTTGTATGAATAAAGGTAACTTGATGTATTGTTAATGGTAAATGTTTAAATGCCTAATAGAGTGTAAGTATAAGTAAGTATGGTATTGTATGTTATTATATGACTGTTTTTGTTTGTTTTGGGTCCAGGGTGTTTTTTGGTGAAAAGCAACTTAGCTTTCCGCCTACAAAACAACTTATAAAGAGGGGAGGTGTTACATACAGCACTGATGTTACCTGTCTGTCATGGGTTTGGAGGGAAAGTTCCATCCTATGGGGTGTGGAAGGCGGGACATCAGGAGGAGGGGCTGTACTATATATATATGTGAATCCTGTGTGGAGAAGTTTAGAAGCTGGAGAAGAGCTGAGAGAAGAAGCTTGAGTTGGAGTCTGTGTGTCAGACAGGGTACTACTGTGTGTCAGTCAGTACCAACCTGATAGGTTCAGGTGTCTGTATGGTTAGCCAGAACTGATAGGTTCAGGGTCTGTGCTTCAAGTTAAGTGTTCTGTGTGAACCAAACTGTGTGTATGTATGAGTGAGACTAAGCCACGTTACTGTATCTTATTCACTTGATCCTTTTATTTTTCCCTGTGTGTTATTTAATAAACCTTGTTCTTTTATTTGTTAAAAATCCATCCCTGGTCTGTGTGACTTCTTATAGGGAATGGTTGGTGGCAGCTTAGTTAAACTGTGGCATATCCCAGTAGGTCTGGGTTTGTCACAGGCCCCACCCAACTGGGAGGGGGGGGCGGACTGTCCACTCACCTGTCTGGCTGCTGCCACTTGTCAGCCTGGCAGGGAGGCTTGTCTTCCCTCCTTCTGCCAGGAGTGGCTAGTTGACTGCAAGCTATGGAGCGATTGGAAGGGAGCACGGAGCTGCCAGTGGATGGCTCTAGCCTGTGAGATTTCTCAAAAGATTTGCCCTGCACTGTAAGCTTCCCTTAGCTTGAGGACTTGAAACAGTACTGCAGGGTTTAAGATAAAGACCGAATTCTTAAAATGCAGATTTTCTGCATCCCTTTCCTTTGGAATTCCAGCTGTTGAATCTACACTGCCTTAAGCTCTCCTTCCAAGCTTGTAGGTGTTTCCAGTACATTTTTTCCCTACCAAATATGCATGCTGTCTGAAAACACAACCCAGACCTATTTTGACCAACTTATAATCTTTAAAGTGAGCCACCACAGCCATTCCCAGGCCAGGAAGGCCTAGCCATTCTATACTCTACCACTGGAGATTTGGAAGCTTCCAGCTTCCAAAAACATCTGTTTTGTAGAATGTGGTGTACAAAAGCAATACGGGCAGAGGGGGGGGGAGAATACATGAGAGAGGCTCAGCCTCTGCTGCAACGAAGACCATCAGACACCGTAGCCATGTGACACGTTAAATCGCTGGAGAATGCCAAGTGCAAATGGCATTCTGGATGGTACTACAATACTCTAACAATGGCCAACGGCTCCCCACCCAATACAACTCACTCATCTGGATCTTATTAAGAACCAGGGCAGCTAGCCGAGACAAAAAAAATAAAAATAAATCCAGCCTCAACAGCAAGCAAGCTGATTTCAAAACAAGATGGATTCCAGACATCTGGAGAAGTTGCAAGAAGTAACTTGAGAGGCTTAAAGCTCCAGGCTGAGCCACTAAACGAAAAGGAGGGCCTTTTGTAAGTCATATACTTACAAGCAGCTGCCAGAAGCAGGCCTTGGCACAGGACGGCAGATCGCAAGGAGCAACGTCACAGGGCATGGCAATGGGGAGCCGCTGAGTGCTCTCTGCCACCCTGGTGCTCTCAGCTCAGCAACAGTTGGGCTCCAAACAATCCCTCCCGAACCCGGATCTCTACCTACACAGCCTATGGCTACAGGCAGTCTTAGTCTATCCCCGCTCACCACTGCTTTCTAATTTACTATACCATAGTTTCTTATGCACAGCAGTTACTCACTACCCTGCTCGTGAGACAGGTTGCTTTCCATTTCATGGAACCACTATAGAAACTGGAAACCTACAGATCACCCTTCCCCTGCCTGGCTGTTCTCTAAACTGCAACACCATCCTCTTTTACTATTGGGCTGCTAATGCTTCGGCTGATGGGAAGTCAAAGGGTTGCGGAAGGCTGGTACAGATGACTAAAGGGTTCCCAAGAGAAGGATTCTCACCTGTATTCAGCACCCCAGCCCTTCACGAAGCTCATTCGGATGGTGCACATTCTAGTCAGCTGATAGACAGCCTCAAAGCCCTGGTTCACAGACTGAGCCAGAAGGGCTGCAAATTCCTGGTTGTTGAAAATCTTCAAGTTACATCCTGTTGAAGATACAGAGCACAATACCAGGCCAAAGGTAAAAATGTGACCAGCAAAGGGCACAAGACACACAAGGCTCTGCTTACTGCAGGAGAGAAAGAACCCTCTTCGTTTTGTGCTCCACCACCCCGCTGTAACAGGCAAGAAAGGATGACACCTTCCACACCACAGAACATTTCACAAAAGGTATTATGCAGGCTAATTCAGAGGGCACACACAAAATTGCACACCTCTGACTGAAACCCTTTGCAAACAGGAAGATAAACTTTTGAACAAGGAAGAGGAAAAAGTGGCCCTAAAACCTTAACTTCAAATATTTGCTAATATATCAATAGGCTCCTCCCTTCCTACAAACAAGGAGACTGTCTCCTTAAAGGTAAAATTATTATTAAATAGTAGACCAAAAATAGTCTCAAAAGAACCTGAAGTGCTGTACAGTGGTGCCCTGCATAGGGACGTTAATCCTTTCCAGATTAATCGTCGCTATCCGGAAACATCGCAATGCGGGGGGGGACCCCATAGAAATGCATTAAACTTTGTTTAATGCGTTCCTATGGGGCGAAAACTCACCGTTATGCGAAGATCCTCCATAGCGCCGCCATTTTCACCTCCTCGGTAAGCGAGGAAATCGCGCAAAAATGGTTCCGGCGGCCATTTGGGGCACCCGGCGGCCATTTTGGAACCGCCGATCAGCTGTTCCGCAAACATCGCAATGCGAAGATCGGTAAGTGAAACGCTTACCGATCCTCACAATGGAATGTTTAGGCTATTAAAACATCGCAATGCGATTGCATTAGCGATCCCAAAAAATAGATCGCTATGCGGATTCGTCGTTAAACGGAGCGCTCGTTATGCAAGGCACCACTGTATTTGAGGCTGCACAATTACCAGTGACTGAATCATGAAACACTTAAAAGTGGGATATTATCCCAACCATATCTGAACATCTTCACTGGGTTCACAAGTCATCTTGGACATCAAACTTATAGATTTATGGGTAGATGATTGCTGTTTACTAAATTTTGGAACAATTCGAAGTTCAATCTTCCCTTTCCATGTTACAATAGAACCCTTATCTCTTGACAAACTGCTTCTTTGCCTTAACTCTAGCATATCTTTTGATACTTTTAGATTGATTTGGTATGGTATGGTATAGTGTACAAATGTAAAAGTGCTCTTTAACTGAGCACAGACAGCGTTCTGACTCCTGTCCTCTGAAGATGCCGGCCACAGAGACTGGTGAAACGTTAGGAAGAACAACCTTCAGAACACGACCAAAGAGCCCGAAAAACCCACAACAACCAGCTCTTTAACTGTTTGCATCCACGCACATGCACATACACACAAACTGAGGTAAACTACTAAATAAGCGTAAGCTTGGTGACTGGAACGTCACCAGAAATTGGCCACCCTTCCAGAACATTTGAATTCATGTTCTGATAACACCTCTAAGTCCATAATTGTCAAGCCACTTTTCAGAGAACCCTGGGCAACATATCTTGAGCTCCTTACTGAGAAGGACACAAAAGATCCCTTGAACAGCAGCAGATCCACCAGAACCAAGCAGCCTGTCTTGTACTGTGCAGCCTAAGTAGAATTTGGTCTGTAGACTGTTAGCACACTCTCCATCCTTGCTGAGCCATTGTGACAGCCAGGATGCCTTCATAGAACCCCAGAAGCCTCTGCAGTAAAGTACTTACTTAGTATTTACTAAGTATAGTATTTACTTAGTATTGATGTGCAGATGCCTCCACAGATAAGAGCTGATGCAAAAAGTGAAAGCCACTGCTCTAGCAAAAAAGAGAAAAATCTCACAGGTATGAGAGATGAAGAATACATATTCTTGTATGTATTTTTAAATGTACTGCAGTTTTTATTCTGTGGTTAGTTTGAAGCTTTTGTTATGTAGCTGGTTAGGTCATATGTGGTCTGATCGTTGTTTTTTATGTTGTAAACTGTCCAGAGTGGCCTTTGTGGCCAGATGGAAGGTATAGAAATTAAATAAACAATTATTAAAATAAATAAGTAACAGCTCTGTAGATGTCCACTGGCAGAAGATAATGCTGGAAACTGAGACAAATACCTCCTTCATAGAAGACAGCCTTTCTTTCTCCAAACCCCACCAAGCTGGGAAAAGGAACGTTCTCTTAGCATCATGCAAGAAAGGGCTGAACCCACTACACTCAATGTTGGCATCCAAACACTCCTATTAAGTAAAATTCTACTGACCAAAGCCCCCTGGTTTGCTCCTGTCACCTACTCCATGTAGTACAGGTGAACTTTGCAATCAAAAGCACAAAACATAAAGTGTGTGCCTTATATACCTCCCCCATAGTGCTTAAATCAATTTAATTATGCAGGCTACACTGTGCCCCCCCCCGCGCCAGCCGGCCAGCAAGCTGGGTACTCAATTTACCAACCTCGAAGAATGGACAGCTGAGTCAACTTTGACCTACCTACTACTAGAGCCCATCACGATCAAACTCAGGGCAGGAGCAGCAACTTGGGTGCAGTACTGCAGTTTAACCTATGAAGGCTCCTTAAAGCAGTGGTCCCCAACCTTGGGCCTCCAGATGTTCTTGGACTACAACTCCCAGAAGCTTTCATCACCAACTCTGATGGCCAGGATTTCTGGGAGTTTTAAGTCCAAGAACATCTGGAGGGCCAAGGTTGGGGACCACTGCCTTAAAGCACACTTTTCCGTGCACAGGCCCAGCTGCTGGTTGAAAAACCAACATTTCACAGTTGTTTGGAAGTGGGGAAATAAAACATGTCCCTTCAGATATCAAAGACATGACAGAGAGGTCATGCTTCACCTCAGGTTCTTTATCTCCAAAAGATAACCTCTGAAATTTGATAGCCATGGAGTTGCTTATACAGGTATATGTCCTGGGTCACCTGTGCGATAGGTGTCTTTCTGATAGCAATTTCAGAGGAGAGGAGAAAAGGGACAACAAATTCTTCACTTAAAAAAGATTCTTTCTGAAACTAATCAGCATGGGAAGTCTTTGTAATTCGCAGAAGAACCACCCCTGCCACAGAGACAAGCTAATTTGCATAAATTAGTCTTTCATAGTTGTTGATGAGTCCTTAATACTCCTCTAAATACAAGGCACTCTGCACAGCAGAGAAGTCTGAAGACGGCATTCTGCTTTTCAGCATACGCTTTCAAGCACATGCTGAATCACAATGACTCAAAATCTTTTCAAAAGTAAATACAAGCTGAGGTGTAGAATTAGTGATTTCCATTTCCACAGAATTAATAATTAAGCTAATCACTTTTCAAAAGTAAATACAAGCTGAGGTGTACGTTTTCTAAATTAGTGATTTCCATTTCCACAGAATTGATAACTAAGCTAATCATAATCCACAGATTATTATACAGTTCCACTATGCGCGCATGTAACTTTCAACATCTCTAGCAAGCAGAGATATATTGGAATTGTTGAGGCTCAGCTCTTTGCTAGAAGGCTCACAACACCTTATAAGAGGAGGCAGAGCCTAGAAAAGCTGCCTTGTCAAATCACAAGCCCCAGAATTCCTTAGCCAACACAGCCACTTGACATCCTAGGTGAAAAGTTCTGGGAACACAAGCTCGGAAATTAACTTTTCCGAGCCTTGGAAAGCAACAGGCGTCTCCCATCCAGATACAGATCTGCTTCTCACATTTGGGTTGATCAGTGTACAGTAATATGCTTCCACAGCACTTCCTAGGCCTTTACCGGGGCAGAAGAATGAACAGGCCAAGAGCCATGACAAGACAGAAGACAAAGGGAATTACCTGGCGGGATCTTGCAGACGGTGGCCGGGTGCCAGCCATAGCGCTGGTTACAGTTTGGAGACTGGACAAAAATGGCACTGTCGCTAAGGCACTCGGCAAACACCTCCCCTCCAATGTAATACAGCCTCACTCCTCTTCCTAGGAAAACACAGGCCGATAGTATTAGGGCAACTAGTCAACAGCACAAAACAAGGCATGCAGCTGTACAAAGGCAGGAACACCAAACACAACGAGACACCGGTATTCGTGCTTTAAATCATTTTCATCTGGCCCTCCTTAAAAAATCAGCATATATGATAGCCCTTGATTGTTCATCTGCCTTAATTCATCCTCACCCTGTTAGGCTATGAGAATCCCTGGACCAGAATCATCAAATAAACCCTGTGGCTGGAGGAAGGATTGTGAAAGACACCTACCCAGCCGAAATCTAAACGCCGCAGCCACTACACCATGCTGGCTGCCATGATCTCTTCTATCGTTTTCCAAAAGATAACAGACTTCTTATAGTTCACCTGTCTGAGGGATACTTGAGAGATAAAATCTATTCCCTCCAGGTGCAGCAAGGCCCACTGGTGCAAAAGACTTGGACTCAAAAGTGAGTCATGAAACTTACTGGTGACCTTGCAACTATCACACATTCTCAACCTGACCTACCTCACAAGGTTGTTGTGAGGAGGAACAAATATGAGGGGAACTCAGATCATATTGGGTGAAAGTCAAGATATGTATATATATATATATAAATTCTGTCTAAGACTCTTCCTGAGATATACTCGGTTCCGACGGTGCCCTGACTCCAAAAGGGTATCACCTAGAGATGAGCATGAAGCACTTCATGTCAGGTTGTCTTAAGTCAGGGGTCTCCAAAGTACGGCTCATGCATTTATAGGCCATCTTTCTCCTGACGAGGGGCCTCAAGGCTGCTATGGTAGAATAAGACAGAGAAGCAACACCACATAAACCTTTAACCCTTTCAAAACTGGTATGGAATGTGGCAGGTGTGCTTGCAAAATTATTTACAATCTTTCTGCCGGGTTTTTGGACAGAGGCAATGAAAAAGAGCTGGGCCTTGAGTAATTGTGAAATAGAATCAACTTTTGCAAGAGCTAGAGAAAATTGAGTTGAAAAAAGATATGTATATATATATATATAAATTCTGTCTAAGACTCTTCCTGAGATATACTCGGTTCCGACGGTGCCCTGACTCCAAAAGGGTATCACCTAGAGATGAGCATGAAGCACTTCATGTCAGGTTGTCTTAAGTCAGGGGTCTCCAAAGTACGGCTCATGAGCCACATCCAGCCCACCTGGCCTTTTTATCTGGTCCATCCGGGCGGGCGGGTGTGAGTACATGTGTACACACACACGAGTTCCTTTAGCCCTCAAAAATATTGCAAATGTATTATGTGGCCATCTGTGAACTAAGTCATCAGTGCAACACCACAGGTGCTGTGCATTCCCTGCTTCCCCTCGCCGGCACCCCCACTCACCAACCGGTATGCATTGTTTGTTCCCTGGTGGTTCAGCCCAGTTTGGCTCTGCACCCTCGCAGGTCTTCTTAGGGTGCTGCACATTCCTCTTTCTGCACACTTTCCCATTCCCTGGGCAAAGTGCATTCCCCCCCTCCCCCAGCTTCCTCAGCGTGCTTGTCCACTCATATCTTGGCTCATTTACCAGATACTATTTTTGATTCTTTACTAACTTAATCTAGTTCAAATCCTGGAACTTTGATGTGTTTTTTCAGGTTTGTTCAATCACATCTGTTTGATACAAAAAATCAAAATGTTAGAATAATGATGTAAAATAGAGACACACTTTGTAATTGAGCACAGAAAAGTCAGGTCCTTTTTACTGCTCCATTTGATCCTTGGGTCACAACTAACTTAAATTATTGCAGTTGGTAGCTTTAATTTCATGGTTGAGCAATGGAACAAGTAAACATTTTTTGTCCTCTTTTTCTTTTGCAGGGGGTGTTAAGCTTGGCTTAGGAGACTTCATTTTTTACAGTGTTCTAGTTGGCAAAGCTTCAGCAACAGCCAGTGGAGACTGGAACACAACTTTAGCCTGCTTTGTAGCCATTCTAATTGTGAGTATAATAACTGAGTATTTATAGTAATTTCCTACTGTATTGCTTAGTGTCAAAGCAAAATGATTGCTAGTGAATCATGGAATTCTAGAGACCTGACCTTGGAACACTATTCCACTCTTCTTTTCTTTTTTACAATCTGTTTTATCGCTTCAGTATCATTATTATCTCATATAGGTACTTTCTGCAGTCATCAGTTTTTTCATTTGTGCCATATATGTGCTCTCTCCTCCCGTAAAAATCAGCGGACAAGGTTTAATGCCAGACATACCCCGTGTTGTTCTGATATTCTCAGTTGTCAGCAAATTATGTCTATTTTCTATGGATTGATGGGCACACTCTGTTCCAACTAACATGGAAAGCCCCCATGGATTGTGGAGGCTTTCCTCTTCAAACTTGTCAATCTCTATGTCTGAAAACTGATGAAACTGGAAATGGGGGGGGGGGGGGGGGGGGGGGGGGAAACAGAGAATCTGGGATGCTGCACCAACAACTTATGTCAACTCAACATGAAGTGCTTCGTGCCCATCTCTAGTATCACCAGTGGTGGTAAATTGTTTCAATCTGTACTATGTCTTTATTTATTTATTCGTCTCATTTATAGGCCATCTTTCTCCTGACGAGGGGCCTCAAGGCTGCTATGGTAGAATAAGACAGAGAAGCAACACCACATAAACCTTTAACCCTTTCAAAACTGGTATGGAATGTGGCAGGTGTGCTTGCAAAATTATTTACAATCTTTCTGCCGGGTTTTTGGACAGAGGCAATGAAAAAGAGCTGGGCCTTGAGTAATTGTGAAATAGAATCAACTTTTGCAAGAGCTAGAGAAAATTGAGTTGAAAAAGCAAAATGTTTGTAAGACAAAAGACATGCAGCTGCATTCAAACAGCTATACACACCATAGGTCTTAAAACCAGACCATATAGGGTAATTAAAATTACATTGCCTAATTAACAGTAGCTGACTGGATAGTTTAGTGGGTTGGGTACTCTTGGCTATGGAGTCCTTACTGAGCCTTCTGGGAGAAGAGCCACCCTGGGTGGCCTTGGGCAAGCTGCACAGTCCCAGGGCACCCCTAGAAGGAAATGGTAAACCACTTTTGCATACTCTCTACCTAGAAAACCCCAGAAAGGGTCACCATAAGTCAGACTAGATTTGACTACAAATAATCATTACATTAAACAAACAGAGGAACAGCAAACGCTCTACAAAATGAGCAAGCTATTCTTAGTCTGTGGTACTGCGTACGTAGAGAATCCTCTGTTCAGCCTGATCCCAGTCCCCCCAACCCAGAAGGTAACAGATGCTACCAATGTGCCGTCTGGTGAGCTCCACTGCAGCATTGCGGTTTACATTGGACAGCAAACCAAGGCAGAAGCGTTCTGAATTGGAAGGGTCAGTGAAGCCATCGACGGTCATAGAGGGCTGAGAAGCATGGAATGTCTCTCCAACGCGTTGGTTGAGCTCATAGTAGGATATGGAACACCAGAATGCTGGTTCACAGTAGGTAACAGGCTGTAGATCTGCAGAGGGCAACGTAAGAGAACAATGAAGATCCATCTGCAAGACCTCTTGTTGGCACTGTTTTTCTGACCTGCTTCTAAATAATCAAGAAGCTGAAAGTTTTGGGAAAATGATTGAGAATTGTACGGTCCTATTTGTTATCAAGTTCCTCTTCTTTTTCACATGGTTCTTTCTACTCTTAAAGCTTTCCTGAAGGTGGCTGGGAAGAACACACACACTCTCCATGTGTTTACAGAGACAGAGGCCTCTTAGTGCTACCCTGCTTTTCTACTGCAAGATGCAAGCAGAATTTCAACCACACACACTTTGGTGGCCTAGTGACTATATTGGGGTCACAATGGTCCACTGGAGGGGTAGTTCCATTGGAGATGCCCCCCTCTACAACTTAATGGGCATCAGAAATAGTCCTCCCACAGAGCCCTTGATAGCTTTGGGACCCTCACAGTACACCAGGGCATTTTCCTTGCTTTTCAAAGCAGAAGCAGCCTGAGAATACCATGTAGGGAAGGCTGCTCTGAAGCCTCTTCATTTTTGTCCTCCTACTGTCAGAATTCTTCTTTGGAGATTCTGGGCAAATTATGGGAGAGTCCTAAAAACCAAGAAGCTTCATCCGAATTCATAATATCTAAACAGTTGAGCCAATCACTGCCATAAAATTAAAACCCAGGTGGAAGCTCACGGGTTTTCCCAACAGTTGTGTTCAAACATGAGGGTCATTTTAACAACCGTGGTCTTTTCCACTCTTTGGAAATGATACATTAAAGTGTTAACAGGATGACAAGCACATTGATATATCAATTCTTTTAAAAATAATGGCTGAATCCTATTTATGATTTATACTTCCATAAGGGGAATCACATTAAGTTGCGGTGCCAAATGTGCCCAGAAATGCAAGAAGCCACATGTTATTGCACTGCGATTTGTCATTGTGATTTATGTAATTCCCCCTTAGGTAAGCATAAAATGGCAATAAGATTATGGTCAGCATTTTGAAAGTAAATGCTGGTTCCTCCTTCCCTATTTGCATGCATAGAAAACATAAAATACTGTACATCTTCAGTCCTATGATGTCGTATAAATCAGTGCCCTTGATGGAATATTGGCTTAAGGCTGTTTCTTGGAAACTTATAGTTTATTTAGGAGGAGTCACTTTCTACAACCATGAAAAACCTACCCCAAGTACACATAGACAATGCACTTTATGCAGCTGCTTGTGTGTCTTTGAAAACTCCGTGAACTCCAAGCTACTCATTATTTCTAAAGGGGAAGCAATCATGTTAAAAGTATTGCAACAGAACGAGCAAAAGGTCTAAGGGCAACTTTAAAGCTAAAGACTGGACCCAAATATAGTATATGCAGCTGGGTCCCTCTTCCATGTGACACATCCCCCAGCCTCCTGGAAATCAGAGGATACTGCAGAATGAAATTGTGTTGCACAATTTGTGAGTTATGCAATTTTGGACTGGCTAGAGGGGCTTTAGTGGGTGAAGCCTTTGAACAAACAGAAAGCAGATGTGGATTCAACCCTAACTCAGCTATAATGGAATGAGCTTTCATGCACTAGAACTACACCTGATGCAATTGACTAGTACATGAAAGTTTAGGCGATAATCAAAGTCTTTGAGGTGTTATAAAACCCAAGCTTGTTTCAGTTAAAAGGCATTCAAGAACTGCTTTATTGCTGCCTAATTACCCTGGAGAAAGAGGAGATTTCTAAGAGAAGTGAAAGTGATCCCTGAGTAGAATTATGTTCCTTAGTGCACACACCTGTTCCTTTCCTACCACAGGGAAGCCACAGTGCTGAAAACAACACAAAAATCTGAACCATCTGTGTATTAAAACTGCAAAGGGGGATGACCACATGAACGCCAGGAGCAACAGTGCCTTTTAAATCAAACCAGCTTGATTAAAACCAATAAGAGTTTTGCGAGTGCCAACTAGGCTTGTGAGACGTCTCCCTGCCCATCTCTTTCTTGGATATAAGATGCCAATTAGGGCATTAATGAAACATCACAACACAGAACCCGCCAAACAGGTACCAAGAGAACCCTGAACAGTACCATCCTTACCCAAGTTATTGTGTGCAGGGGACACTGGATTGGGAGACAAATTTGGAGAACCTGGGAGGAAAAAGTTACAATTATTGTAGGTCCAATGAAAGAGAGCAACCTATTTACCATATTGCTTCTGAAAGGTTGGCTGAACGATCCCCTTCATCAGGTTCTTTCCATTCTACAGATAGTAAAAAGAGGCTGAGATGCAATTACTTCCCCAGAACCACCCTAGAAGTCTGTGCTTTAAACACATTTCAGTGCAAAAGGCTTGTCCACGTCCATTCCGCAGAACTCATTGGACCTGTTCTACTATTCTGGTTTCAGAAACCAAATTCCATCCCATTTCTAAACAAGCCTTATAGTTCTTTTTAAAAAAAAAACACCCTTCAGTTTGTACTGTGAAAAATATTTTGCTTTTGTTTAACAAAGACTTGTGTAAAAAGACCCAAATATTATCACAAGTCCAAGCATTTTTTTTTAATTTTAAAAATTTATCTATATCTGTATATGGCTTATTGTATATTCGCTGGGATCCTGTTGCCCAGCTTTGCACCGTACAACCATGATGACATCATCCGTTGTGGCTGTTTCAGGGGAATAAAACATTTTCTATTCCTCATCCCCACCTCCAGGGATCCCTTTTGTTCTGGATAAGACTTTGGGAACTACAAAACAGGCAAGGAGACTCTTTAATTGCTGCCACTGATCACAGTCCCTTGCAATTTTCAGGCATTAAAGAGTTCCTTATCCTGTTCTGCAGCTCTCAAAGACTCTTCTAGACAAAAAGGATCCTTAGGAATTCCTAGTAGTCAAGAGGGGAAATGGGAAACCATAATGGCCATGGCTGATGGCATCATCATACCCTGTAAAGCTGCACCACAGGACTGCGATCAATATATTGCTAATTCCAAATAAATAAAGATGAAAGAGAAAAGAGGGAAAGAATGGGGAAGATAAGTAACTTCTGATTATTTATACTTGATTATTATCTAGTACATTTGTCATGCAACAATCATCCAATCCTATGTTCGTGGCTTGTCTGCCCAAAAGAAAGGTACATCAGTTTCAATTACACTCACTTCCAGGTAAATGGATCTAGGTAAATGTGGCCTAAATCATGCACAGTCTTGAAGCGTCTCCCTTGTACACACAAAGATGCTTTCTATGCAGCATTATGCCAACATGTCTGCTGTGTGTTAGTTACATGGGTACATCCCATTCTTCCCTTTTAAAATTTTATGCTGCACTTCTATTATTATTATTTTGTATTACAAGCATTCAAAAATATTTTAGACTTGAGAACATCTGGAGTTCTGAAAATCTGGAGTAAGCAAGTGAGAGAGAGATTAGATGTATGTTTCACAGACAGGCTGAGCACTCTTAGGGTGTATTCAAAACCAACGGATTCAAGTAATTATATCCACAAAAGCTCACCCACCCCAACAGAAATTCCAGACACTGACCACATTACCAAAAATTGTGCATCCAGAAAAAGGCATACCAAGTAGGACTGTTGCATGAGACTCACCAACAATACTATGCCTATACTATATCATTATGGTAAAGGACATTAAAGATGTTTTTCCCCTTTCAGAATCCCACATGTTACGCCAAGAAAGGACACAATGTGATCTACCTGCATCCATGCTGTGATTCATCTGATGCTCACTGCTTTCCCCATCCTCACTCAGATAGCCAGGTGGGGGTGTCTCTGGAGAGAGAAAGAAGAGAGTGTTTATCATGAAACTATGCAAACTCCAGGAGCTTAAATATGATAATTCACACTTCTGCACAACACCAATCAAATTCCAAGAGTCACAATTACAGATGGGCATGAACCTCAGCTCAGCCCAGCTCTGCCCAGGTGTTCGGTGGGTGCTGCGCACTCCCCTCTCCTGCCTCCTCTGTGCACTCACCCATCCCTGGGCAAAGCATGCTTCCCTCCTCACCTCCTCAGTATGACTGCCCACTCACTGACAGCAGTGTGTCTTCCACCTCCTCCAATAGCCGCCCTCAGACGAGGATGTGGGGCAGGGAAGCCCACATTGCTACTTTTGAGTGGGTGGCTGTGAGAAGACATAAAAAAGGAAAGGATGTGCTGCATTCAGTAAAAGTGCAGTCATACCGAGGAGGTGGGGAGGAAAGCATGCTTTGCCCAGGGAATGGGTGAGCACACAGAAGAGGTGGGAGAGGTGAGTGTGAGGCGCCGGCAGAACACCTGTGCAGGTGCTGCACTGAACTGGGCCGGACTGTCAAACGGCGGTTCATGCCCATCTCTAGTCACCATCTGAAAAGCTCCCTCCGCATTCTTGTAAGTTTCAAAAGGGGCTTTGCAATGCAATTCCCATTTGTAACACTACTATAACATGAGGAGTGTTTCCCTCTTTATAGATGTGGCCCTCCCGCTGGAAAACAACTTACAAAGCATTGGATAGACATATGTCTAGAAAGGTAAAAGGTAAAGGTTCCCCTTGACGTTTTTAGTCCAGTTGTGTCCGACTCTAGGGGGCAGTGCTCATCCCGTTTTCAAGCTGTAGAGCAGTGGTGTCGAACTGTGGCCCTCCAGATGTTCTTGGCCTTCAACTCCCAGAAATCCTGGCCAGCAGAGGTGGTGGTGAAGGCTTCTGGGAGTTGAAGTCCAAGAACATCTGGAGGGCCACAGTTCGACATCACTGCTGTAGAGCCAGCGCTTGTCCGAAGACAGTTTCCGTTGTCCGTTTTACCTTCCCACTGAGGTGGTACCTATTTATCTACTCGCATTTGCATGCTTTTGAACTGCTAGGTTGGCGAGGAGCTGGGACAAAGCGACGGGCGCTCACTCCGTCACGTGGATTCGATCTTATGATTGCTGGTCTTCTGACCCGGCAGCACAGAGGCTTCTGCAGTTTAGCCCACAGCGCCACCACGTCCCCTCTATATGTCTAGAAGGGCGGGATAAAAATCTAATAAATAAATAAATAAA